ATTTCCTTCGATGCCAAGACGAAAGATTTGAGATGCGATGAAAAGACGTGATGCACAACTTGCCCCTGAGCATCACTTGGACTTCTTGTTTCTGCGGCTACCAAGGTGGTATAAGTCGGGCTCGCCGCTGCCGTGGCCGCATCAACGCGGTGAAGTGCCCGGCGCTCAACACGCTTGGCATCCGACGTCACAGCAAAGTGTGCTTGAGGAATGTCATTTCAGGCAGCCGGCCTTCCGCTTCATGGGCCCGGTGGTATGCTACTCCAAGCCCCTGGTCCAGACCCCTCTGAGGTGTCATGCCATTCCCGTAGAGGGCATCCACGTCAGTACTAGCAACGACTGTCGTGAAACCTGACCACTCGGTCGGACCGTCACCAGCTGGCCAATATTCACCACCATCTCAACATGAACATTGTCCGAGTAGGTATAGGTATTGATTCATTTCTGCCCGCTCCAAGTTGTACAGCTTTAGACGTCAAGAAGTCCTTTTAACCTGGGAAATGGCGTGAAGAGAATGTCGCCTAAGGAACTTCACCGCGCTTAGCGTGGGCTGCTCAAGTCGCCTCCTTGCATCACTTGGGCAAAGGGCGTCAGTCACCACGCTGTCCCCGTAAACCCGGCCCCTCTCGGGTCCGTGGGATCCACTTTACGGGATACACTCCCGCTGGCCCGTCTCGAATCGGTCACGTGCCATTCTATCAAGGTAGACAATCTACACCGAGGCCTAACATCTGGACCAGCTCGTGTTCTTCAGCATGAAACAAGAGAGAACACAGGGTAGAACGTGAGGTGGGAAAGCCTTCGTCTTTTCCTCTAAAGTTGTGGTCACTTTGGGGTGAATCGTACAGGTCAGTCATTTTGCGTTTGACCAAGTTGCCCCCCTTCACGATCTTTTTGATCGTATAGCATCTAGAAAACATCAACAAATCCAAAGGAGGAGTCCTCTCGAAACCCCTCCTTCCACTACACCCCCGACAGCGATCCCGTATTCACAAGACAGTCTGGAAACGCACCCCCTCTTTCCGGACAACGCAACAGCGGCACATTAGCGAGTATGCTCCAAGAACAAACGCTGCTCGCGTCCAAAGTGTCGCCTCCCTTTAGTTTCCAATCTTCTTTCCACGCTCGTGCGAGTGTGAGCTTGATTTCACGATTCGCTCCCCCTCGATAAGCGGAAGAGGGGAAAGTCTTTCAGAACGTGACGTGGTCTCTGCTGTAAGACGAATTGAACCTCTACTACAACAGATACATCTCAGGGTAGCATAACAAAGTTTTCACAGCCTCTTCGTTGAAAACCTGCGAGGGTCGAATACGCACTCGTTTGTAGCGGCCCCAAGGAAGTTACATTATGCTACATGGGATGCTCCCTTGTGTAGGGTATACAGCTCTTGCCAGACACGAACGGAAAGGGCCCCCCTATGCCTGGAATAACAACACAGCGTGAGGTAGCTCCCTCGGATCATCGTGTGAAGAAGGGTAGGAAGGCGATACGAAATTCCATCATACCTGAGGTACACCAGGGCATGAGGACGCACCGACAAGGTATCAGGAAATGATTCAAATCCACAAAGGCTCAATTGAGATTGTCTACAGGTGTCGCTTCTGGGCGACTTTTTTTTTAATCCCCCCTCCCACGGACTTTTTCAACATCCACCTATTTCTTTCTTTCTCCATCTCTATAGAGAGGCCCTTTGTGACGGACAAAAAAATAAGGGGGGGAACATGGTATCCATATGAAAATTCTTTTTTTGCTGCTGCCATTTCTGTTTGGTTTACCGGACAGTGACATCAACCTCCTGGCTCTCAAACGTAGGGAGCTCAGCCGCGACGTCCTTCCACTCCTTGGCACCGGTGACGAGGCTCTGGATGGCCGCGATGATGGTGTCCTCGTCGGCGCGGACCTGCTTGGTCGAGTCGCGGTCGCGGAGGGTGATTGTGCTGTCCTGGACGGTCTGGAAGTCGATGGTGATGCCGAGCGGGGTGCCGAGCTCGTCGTTGCGGCTGTAGCGCTTGCCAATGGTGGCCGAGGACGAGTCGACGCGGGCCGAGATGCCGTACTTGCGCAGCTTCTGCGAGATCTTGCTGACGAAGGGCTGGAACTGCTTGTTGGCGGACAGGGGCACGATCAGGACCTTTGTGGGGGCGACTGTCGGGGGGAAGGACAGGACCTGGAGTCATTTGATTAGTAAATCGTTCATCAAGGGATGCTCGGGGGTTAACTTACACCACGGGCCTCGTCACCGGCACCATCCTCGGTGGCGCGGTTCCAGTAGACGTGCTCAATCAGCGAGTACAGGATACGGCCGATACCAAAGGAGGGCTCAATAACGTTGGGGGTGAACTCCCTGGTGTTCTCGACGCGCTTTCTGAACTCAATCTTGACGAGGTCCTTGCTGACCTTGACCGTGCCGCTGCCGACGCCGGCGACCTCGAGCTCCAGCTCGCCGTTGTCGGTGAGCTGCTTGGCGAGCTTCTCGCGCTGCTCCTGGGTGGTTCCCTCGAGGGCGGCCTCGACCGTCTTGCCGTCCTTCTTGAACTGGGGACCAAACTTCTTCTTGTCGATCTCGACCTGCCACTCCTCAAAGACGAGGGGCTCGTCGAGGCGCTCGCGCACGACGAGGGGCGCGCCAGTCTTCTTGGCGTGGACGGACAAATCGTAGGCGCTGCGATCGGCGCAGCCGACACACTCGATCCAGCCGGAGGAGGTGAGGAGCTCGGCGTCCCAGCAGTCGGCGGCGTAGTGGGCCATCTCGTTCTCCATGTGCTGGCGGAAGCGGACCTTGGTCATGTCGACACCAATCTTTTGGAGGAAGAGGTGGATGCGGGCGAGGAAGTAGCCGAGGGTCTCGTTGTCGACGACCTTGTTGCTCACGGCGTCGCCAATGGTCATCTTCTTGACCTCGGTCTTGCCGGCGAGCTGGGTGTGGCGATCGAGGAGGGTGAGCTCGACGGTGTTGACCTCGGGGAAGCGGACGTGCTTCTTGCCGCCCTCGGGGTCGACAAAGTGCTCAATCTCGGCCATGAGGAACTCGCGGACTCTCAGGAGACCGGCGCGGGGGGAGATTTCGTTTCTGTAGGACTTGCCGATGGAGGCGGAGGCGAAGGGCATCTGCTGCATGTTGAAGTCGAGGAGCTTGGCAAAGTTGAGGAACTGGCCCTGAGCGGTCTCGGGGCGCAGGTAACCGGGCAGGTTGCTGCTGGGGCCAATGGCGGTCTGGAACATGAGGTTGAAGGCGACGGGGGGCGAGGGCTGGAGGCCAGTGTTGGGGTTTCTGAGGTCGTACTTCTTGATGAGCTCGCCGAGCTCCTCGCCGTTGTAGTTGTCAATCTTGGCCAGAATCTCTTCGTACTCCTGGACGACAGCGTCCTCAAGCTTGACGGCCTCGGCCTTTGTCTTTCTCTTCTTCTTCTTCTTGGGGTCATCCTCCTCCTCGACCTTTTGGCCGCGGGCCTCCTTGTCACCCTTGAGGCGGGCCTCGAGAACGTCCTCAACGAAGTGGTCGGCGCGCAGGATATCGCCGTTCTTGGGGTCCTTGCACATCCAGTCGGCGAACTTGTCGACGTGGCCAGAGGTCTTGAGGACCTCGTGCGGGGTCAGGACGGTGGTGTCGATCTCGAGCATGTCCTCCTCGAGGATGAAGTGCTTGCGCCATGTCTCGACGATGTTGGCCTGCAGAGCGCAACCGGGAGGGCCGTAGTCGAAGAGGCCAGCGACGCCGCCGTAAATCTCGAAAGCCGGGGTGAAGAAGAGACGGCGACGCAGCATGGCGTCGAGGGTCTGCCTGTCGAGAGGCTGACCCTTGAGGGTCGTCGCGGTGGTCGTCATCTTGGAGGAAGAGCCGGCGGCAGCGGACGAGGGCTTGTTCTTTTTCGAGGGAGCGAGGACTTGAGCCCGGGAGAGGTGACGGGAGGTGGTGAGGGTGCGTTGGTGGGAGGAGGAGTATGGGTTTGAGCAGTGGGAGGAGGGGGAGGGGTAACGTTGGTGGGAGTGGAAAAAAGCGGCCGGCCGAACTGCACAGAAGCTAGCTGTGGAACGAATTGAAGGTGATTGGTGTGCAACAAAGCGAAAGGGCTTCATCTGCTCGATCGTTTGGTGGGGTTGTTTAGAGGAGCGTGAGTCATCTGGGGAGGATGGAGTCACTGGCAGCTCACTGTAAGGTAGTCTGGGCTGCTGCAGCCAAGTAAGTAATGCCTATGGAGGGCTAACCTGGATGGATGGCCGGCTCTCAATCGGAAAGATGCCCCGAAGAGAGAGAGTGCGTGCAGTGCAGACTGCAGAGGGTGAGCTAGGTATAGAGGGGTAGGTAGTGTGTATGAGCGAGTGTGGTCGTGGTCGATGTCAATGTTCGTCTGCCCTTTCCAGTTTTCACACCCCTCGTTGGTGGGCAGCCTGAGGTGGGAAAAAAAAGTTGTACCCTCCAATTCCAGGTTGGCATTGGGTGCACCAAAAGAGGCCTGTCTGTCAGTTGAGGTGGCCCTGTCGTTGCGATCCGCGCCAGGCCAGGAACACACACGGCACCGGACGGACCCCCTTCCTCTGTCCCGCAGCCGCAGACCGGCACCAGGCGATTGGACTCGACCAAAATCTTGCCTTTTGGACCCCCACCCCACTTGATAGGTACCTACGTATCTTACAGTGGAATCACGGATCATTCAATTCGCCGTTACTTCGTCCACCAACGGCGATCGAGGAAGACAATCCCTGGCGCCCCCGCAAACCGAACGTCGGGACCCATCTCAAATGCATCTGCTGCAGGGATTGGTTGGTGCCCCGCCAAAATTTCTCCAAAGCTGATTTTCACTGATTGTACGGCCTTTTTTTTTTCTGGACCGACGAAAGTTGTACAGCATCATTTTCTTTGCGACAGATACCCTCAAACCGAACCTCCAAACGATCGAACGAGCTTAATCCACGGGCAAGTTGTCTACGAACTCGGATAGAGGAAACTCACCTTCTATCAATCGAAACGAAAAAGAGAAAACAGAAGCCAATCTTCAAGATGGGCTTCTCCAAGCCGGGCAAGTCCATGGGGGCTTCGCTCACGAACAAGACGTCCAACAAGCTCAAGCGCAAGGAGATGTACGTCCTGCAAAAGAAGGACAAGGATAAAGCCCAGCGCGAGATGCGCTTCCGCCGCAAGAAGGAGGAGGACAAGAACCCCGAGCTCCGCGCCGCCCGCCTCGCAAAGAACAAGCCCCAGACCATCGACAGCAAGCGCGTCTGGGACGACGTCGACGACGACAGCCTGGGTAAGGTGGTGGACGTCGAGAGGCTCAAGAAGAGGAGGATAGAAGAGGAGGAGAACGCCGCGCTGGAACAGGAGCTCGACGCCGAGGATGGCGAGGACGATGGCGAGGACGACGACAGCGATAACGACAGCATGCTCGACGACGAGGAAGACGAGGCCGCCGCCGCGGAGAAGAAGGCCGAGAGGGAGGCGCGGCGCGAGGAGAAGCGCCGCGCAAAGAGGGACTCCTCTGCCGCGCCCTCGACGACCTCGACGAACCTCGACCTCACCCCGTCCTCCCTCGCCCTCAAGTTCCCCAGCCTCTTTTCCGAAGACGCGCCCCCGCCCCCCAAGATCCTCATCACCACCTCCCTCAACTCGACCCTCCACCACGAGGCCAACATCTTCCGCACCATCTTCCCGAACTCCACCTACGTGCCCCGCTCCGCCCACCGCTACGGCCACAAGTACTCCCTCCGCGAGATCTCAAAGTTCGCCGCCAACCGCGACTACACCGCCGTCGTCCTCCTCAAAGAAGACCAGAAGAAGCTGACGGGCATGTCCATCGTCCACCTCCCCGTCGGCCCCACCTTCACTTTTACAATCACAAACTTCATGGAGGGCAAGAAGCTCCCCGGCCACGGCAACCCGACGAACCACTACCCGGAGCTCCTCCTCAACAACTTCAAGACCCCGCTCGGCCTGCTCACCGCCGCCCTCTTCCAGCGCCTCTTCCCCCCGCAGCCTGAGCTCGAGGGCCGCCAGGTGCTTACGGTGCACAACCAGCGCGACTACCTCTTCTTCCGCCGCCACCGCTACGTCTTCCGCGAGAAGCGCGAGACGGAGAAGAATATCACGACTGCCGAGGGCTCCGAGATGAAGGGCGTCGAGGGCATCCGCGTCGGACTGCAGGAGGTTGGCCCGCGGTTCACGGCTAAGCTGAGGAGGGTGGACAAGGGTATCGGCAGGGCGGGCAGCGAGGGTGAGGAGTCGCAGCCGTGGGAGTGGAAGGCCAGGATGGAGAAGGACCGCAAGCGGTTCCAGTTGTAGAGAGTGGTTTTCTTTTCCCCGTGTGGTCTTTGGTCACCTCGGTCGCTGCGGATGTCGGGGTGTCAAGTACAGTGATGCATTGTGTTATTGGCCAGGGAGTACCCCGTACGGCGTTATTTACATGGCTTCAAAAAAAGGGTAGATTGGGTTTTTAAACATGTCATGTCGCGTATCACAATAAAAGAAAGAGGCATAAAGATGCGTCAGGTTTTGGTTGGAAAATAAAGTAAGTGTTTTATTTTTCCCTTGCTACGAATTCGAGTGCCTGTGTTCCCCATACGCCGAGCCATGATAGGTTTGGGTTCATGTAAAAGAGGTATCATCCCAAATAGACCCTGTCTAATCCCGACGGGCTCAATCTACTCAACGCCATCTTGATTCCCATGATCACCATGCTGCCAAAAAAGAAAGGAAAAACCGTTTCCGAAATGTTATAAAGTCAACGTAGAGCCTCAGCCAATGTGACCATGGCCTACTTGCGCTGGTTGCGCTGGTGCTGAAGCATGACGACAGAGTAGCTGCGTGAATCGTTAGTCTGGTGTTCATATGCAGAGAGGCTCTGTTCACAACTTACGCAACAATGCCGCCAATGGCAACAAAGACACCAAGAACCGACTTGTCGCCAATGGCTCTGCCTGACACCATCCAGCCAAGAGCAACAATGGTGCAGGTCTTGAGGTGACCAACAACGGTGCTGGACACAGGACCGGTCTGGGCGATGATGAAGAATTGGGAAATGTTGATGAGCGAGGCAAAGGCGCCAGACTATACGTTACCGGTTAGCAACAGTGAATCAAGGTACTCAAGACAGAGGAAACCTACCATGCCAATCATAATCCAGCGGTTGCCAGGAACATTGACCCAGTCGGGGAAGGTGTCAACAAAGGGAATGACGTAGAGAAGCATGAAGGAGGCGATGGGAGCCTGGTTGTAAAGCAGCTGCATGCTGGACATCTGGAGCTTACGGTGGTAGCTGGCGATCCAGACGGTGTAGAGAGACGAGGCAAAGATGCCAGAAAAGGCAAAGACGACACCCAGGGTAGAGGTGGTCTTGACCTTGTCGTCCTTGGTAGGCAGAGAGTCGTAGTAAGAGACCATACCGACTCCGAGGCAAGCCGGGATGAGCGCCATTATCGCATTCCTGGGCAGTGTCGCCTTATAGAGCACATAGTTCATGAGCGCGACGGTCGGCGTCAGCAGGATCCGGGCAATCTGGTAAAAAGTCACGGAAGAGAAGGCCAGGGAGAGATTCGGCAGGATGACGTTGAGGCACATGGCGACGGAAAGCGGCAGCAAGTCCCGGATGGCGGCACGGCGCGGAGTAAAGTAAGCGAAGGTAGGCCGGGAAAGGACGAACAGCGTGCCGAAAGTGACCAAGAAGTGGAAACTCGCAAAGGTGAGCTGGCAGAGCTTCCATTGAGGGTCGGAGAAGATGGCCTTGTTGGTGAAGACCTGGGTAAGGTATTGTCAGCATATTTTCGCATTCCTGGGAAATCGCAGGTTTCGGTGGTATACTCACGATTCCAATCGTCGCCAAGGTGTTGACGGTCATCCAGATAATGGCAGAAGTCATGCCAGACTTCTGGGGCTCCTCCTTCTCATTGGTCTTGGGCAAGAGCTTCTCGTCCTCCTCGGTGCCCAGCTCTTCGTCATCGTGCGACTTGAGGTTCTGAACGCTGTCCTCCATCGGGTCCAACTTGGTTAGCTCGTGGAGAGTCGCGGCGTCGGTGGAAGACGAGGCGAAAGAGCCCGCTCGCTCGGTGCGGTAGTCGTCAGTCATGGTGGGCAACGACGAGAGATGGCGAGACGAGGTAGTTGGTGTGGAAGGAAAAGAAAAAGCAGACAAGCTGAGTGAGTGAGTGAGATTCGAGTCCACGGTAGTGAGCGGGAGCAAAAGGAAAAAAGGGCGGGCAGTCGGCGAGGCGGTGCGTGAATTCAGGCGAGGGCCGGTGCTGATGGATTGAGATCGTCGCCAGGTAAGGGCTTTGGGGTCCTATTTCAGTGTACCATGGGAAGTCGGGTTGCACAAGGGAGTGTCGAGAGTGCAAGGTCGTCGGTTCGTTGGAATGCTTCAAAGGGAGACGCCTCGTCTGGTAGAATTCCGAAGGGCAACCGCGGAATTGAAGGGAAAGGGAGTAAAGTAGACAGACAGGTGCAAATATAACGAAAGTCGTATGGAAGGTCCGAGGCGGCGGCGTCCCAAAGTAAGTACGTCGTTCTTGCCCGCCTGGTCTGCCAGTTTTGGGGTCTCGTTCTTTCTCTTTTGCGTCAGACTCAGGGCAAAAAAGGCTGGCGGGGGTCTCGGTGGTGGTAGTACGGGCAAAGTACGAGACTACCTGGGAGGTTCCTTCCCTAGTCGTAGCTACTAATAGTTACTAGGCAGTGACCAGCACCTACCCCGGGCTGAAAGCAGAGAGAGCAAGAGCAAAAGCAGGGATGAGGGATGAGGGATGAGAAGGAAGGAGGGAGACGTAAGGAAAGGGCAGGGGAAGGTGCGGGCCCCACGACCCCGTACCGGGACTTGCGACGTGCGATTTGCGACTTCCACGTCCATCACACACATTGATGATGATTCTGGCACTCCCGTTGCTGTGTCGCGGCGCACACTCTCTCAACTTACCCACACAGACTTGCGCACCGCTGACAAGACTGCATAGAAACAATGTCTGCATTCCGAAAGCTTGGCACACGCTTAACCATCGTGACGAGAACCAGCTAGTTAAGCTATGGCTGCATTGCTCTCTTCTCTCTCGATCCGGCGGCATGGACCATAAAGTAGCCAGCCGTCCCATCTGAACAAACAAGACGAGGCCAAACCCTGCTCTACCACCCCGCCGTCGCTGCCGCCGCCCTTCCTTCCCTGGGAGAACGCCCAGTACAAGGCTGCAAGCCATTTGGACCATGGTCCGTTTCCCTGGACTCGGGTTTAGGGGGGCATCGACTCCTGTACCCTACGGATACAAGCACCAAGGTCTTGAACGTCCTTACACCAAGACATAGAAAAACACCTGCAGATCGAGATGGCTGCATCAAAAGCCACCAATCCAACCGGACGCAAGCCCACGGGTTCCTTGAACTGGACGGGAGCTGTTTTCTGGAGACCGCCTTTCTTTTCTGGTCTGTCTCTCTCTAACTTTTTCTGCCTGCCTGCCTGCCTGCCTGCCTCGCCCTCATCTGCCACGGTGGCTTTCCTTCTCTTCCCCAAAACAGAGTCTTGTAGCGCACATTGTGTAGGTATCCGTACGAGTACATGTTGTGGTCCACACCACGTAAGTTAGCGCCAAGCCACTAATACTTCGTAAGCTTCAGCCCCGCTCAAGATCCAATTAGACCCGACTCGACAATCTGCAAGTCTCTCTTCACCCGTCGTACCCGTCACATCTGCAACACCACAGCATGGCACCAAACCCGCCGTATGCAGCGCACTCGCACTCGATCTCGACGTTAGCTTCGCTCCAGTCGGGTCCCGTCGTCAGTGTTCTTGACACCTAGGGCAAATAGGAACACGAGATCTTACTATTCTTCACCCGGCGATCGCTCGTTGCACCTGGTGCCGATGCTTCGAGCAAGAACGAACGCAGCCTCATATTCTGCATCAAGTCGTTTGATCAAGCAGGTCGACAAGCCATCCTCCGCGAGCAGCTCAAGAAGTAACGGACAGCCCGATATGCGCCCAACTCTCTCCGACAGCCGCCCCAACTTTGTCTAATTGTCTGCACTCTCGCTCTCGCCGGCATCCCAGCGTGAACTTTCTGTGATCCGATCCAATTCGCACACGCGTCACCGTGTGGACCGTGGGCAATGGCCTTGACACAGAGAGGGTTTCGACGGAGCTTCCCCCTGGGATGGCGGCTGCTCTTGAGGGACACACGGCGCTGTTCCCATGGTTGCGCCGGTTCGCTCGGTTCCTTCTGGGTCGTCTTGCTCCATCGACTTGAACTAATTGTCCAGCTGTCAGAAATTCTCGCGGATAGAGTTTAGTAGAACAATTAACGCCTAGATTGGAAAGTTTACTCCCTGAGACATTGGAGTCACAGTACGAACCTCCGCCAATGCTGCCAAGTGGCCTACTTCCAGCCTCACTCCTTGTCGCCAATATCTCTCGACGTCTGAAGGAATGCACCATGTCTTGGCCGCTGTCGCAGCTCATTCCAGCGGTCCTTCAGCATGAACAGCATACAATGTGCCGCAACGCAACGGCATCTTCTGCCGTTCGTCTGTCGGATTACTCCACCGTTTCCCGCAAATTCTGGCGCGGCCAACCGTTGACGAGACTCTGAAATGTCTAGGACATGGGGGGTTTGAAACGAGCCGACAGCAAGTCATGTGTTTTGGCTGGGCAGCAGCGTGCAGTTACTGCAGTGCCTGGCATCTGTCGCTGGAAATGCCGTCCATGGTCCTGATCCATGATCGTCACTGCCCCTGCGCCAATCTCATCTGAAGACGCAAGCATGCAAGTCGAGTCCGCACAGCCGGGAGGAACGGGGGTTCCATGGTCTTGCCGGCTCCCTTGGACGCCAAAATTAGTTGGCCTTGTACGGCGTAGGCCGCTCGCTTGACTTGGGGGCCATCTGTCGTCGGCTCATCTTGCTCAACATCCCTCGCGATGAACATGTCAGCGATTGCGTGGAATCTGGCTATCGTCCACTCCATGCCAGTCTGGTGTTGACCACTATTGTCTCCTCCCTCCGATAAGTCATCCTCGAGCGTTTCAGCATTCCCCAGAGAGACCCTGAGGCAATGTGGTCTACCATGGTGCTTTGGTCGATTCGTGGCATGAGGGGGAGGATGGGAAAGATGAGCACCACATTCTTGCGCGTCTGCCACCCCACATGGCTCATTGCAAGCCACCAGGGACGCGCGCCCGGCCTCCCCAGCATCGACGGCGCCCGCTGGCGCCGGAGCTGGTGTTGCCTTTGCCCATCACGGCTCCACGTTCGAGGAGCCGGGCGAGTGGGAGAAGCCGGCTTAGCACGCTCCGCTGTCGCCATCGTCCGTCAGCCAATGGAGCATCATGAGCCGGAGACACATTCGTCAGTCTATCCGTGAACGTCGGCCCTAGAGTGGCTCGTATCGGATGTTTACAGCATTGGATGACTGCATCTGTGGCGTCCGTCACGGGCCGGTTCACGAGCATGTTTCTCGCTGTCGTGTTTACTCGCAGACTAACTCGAAGCTCCTCGACTCTCACTGGAAGGTGTGGCCGGGGACGGAGCTCGATGAGCAGACAGCTGCATCTAGGTCTTGGCGGTGTGATGGAGTCAAAGTGTAAGTACTTGGAGCCAGGGTTGCAAAAGGTGCGAAATCGTTCTACTGTGTAGACCTTACTGAACGTGGGCGTGTTGGACATTCCAGCGCTTCTTAGCCCCTGACATTCTTTTTATTGTTTATTTGCCCCTGCTACCCCTGCTTTCTCCCTGATGAACGAAAAAGAGCCCAAAGTATCACGGAGGTAAGGAGGCCAAGAAAGTGATGAAGAGATTGGTTGCGAGCCCCATCTCTCTAGGCGCAGAAGCAAGAACAGCGTATTGTCAGACAATAGGCTGAAAAGGAACTAGCGGCCGGTCTGGAGGCGTTTGTGGAATGGTCCCCCGCCCACGGCGGCCACGGCTGAGAAGCCAGCTGAGACTGGGACGGGCTGGGAATCTCAGGGCACTGGTCTATCTGTGGCTAGTTGACAAACTATTCAGTCTCGACGCCTCGTGGTCGGCCGTGCCGCCATGATACCCGTGGAAAGCGGTGTCTTGGACGTACGTAGTCGCTCTCCCTAGTTTCCATTAGCTTGCGCGGAAAGAAGGGGTCCCATTCCATTGGGAAGTCTCGTTTAAATTGGGGTTGCATCTGTCAAGTTGCTGCACGGCATCTCATGAAAAGAGCGGCTCCGGCTGGGTATGGATTGGGTTTTTGGGAGGGAAAGGTGTTGGGAAGGGAAGCAGAGGGTAAGGGTATGGGTACCGAGAAAGTACCTGTCGCCTTGGACGTCAGAAAGCAAATACGTACCGTTACTTGTCCGGTTCAACTCGCTGCCAATCGGCTCTCGAGTCTTGATGCCTTTCCGTACGTATCCCATCATCACATGATCCGTCAACTCCCTATGGTGAGTGTATTATGTAAGGCACATCTCCCGGTGATCGATACTCGAAATCGCCCGTTCTGACACGTCTAGATACGCCGTTCAAAATACAAGCTTTTGCCGGCCGGGTGTCTGCAAGCTCCGGACAAAACTGCGCCGTGTGCGTACTGCCGGGAGACTAGAGCTGTATTTTATTTTTGGGACATCGCGAGGGGCCGCGGCGGGAGAGCCTGAGAAAGTTGTCGTGGACGCAGCCTGTGCCTGGATGCCATGCCAGGGTTCCCTTGGAAAGTCCCCGGTTCGCACTAATCACGCAGGTGCTCGAGGAAAAAGCAAGCACATATACCTCGCTGTTCGCATAGGTAGTAGGTAAGCTGCTGCGATGGTCAGTGGCAGTGGCTGACGTATAATACTGAGGAATCGAGAGTGATGGAAGAGATTGAGAGTACGGGTGCAAAGTACAGATACTTTGAAAACACAGGCAAGCGTCATGTTTCAAGATGTTGCTTCCCAGCCAAGACCCTCTTGGTGTCCACCCCCACCATCCACCTCTCAGTCTCGCTCCTCCGTACCACATTGCGGATGTCACAACGATTATTTGCGATCCCATTCTCATCGCACTTGTTATACTGCACTTGTCTAGTACCTAAGTACGGTCAAACTGTTCCTTTCCCACCAGTTACCGCAGCACCTGCTTCGAGGGCAGCAGGCCGGCAGCAGCAAGTAGCCATCGCACCATCCACTTTCTCCCACACCGGGCTAGATCGGCATCCATGAGATTGCCCCCAAAACATCAGCCAAGCACCCACACTCAATCGGAGCGACGACCGTGGCTGCAGTCGTAATCGCAAGGAAGCCACATCCACAGCTGCTAACCAAAATCTGAGTGAGATAGAGAGAGAGAGAGAGAGAGAGAGAACCCAGCTAGTTAGCTGACCTACCTACATGTCCCGCTGTACTCTATACATGATCCAAGCTACTCTGATCCCGCTGCGTGCGAATAACCTGAATCCATCTCTCAAGTCTCTTAATTAGAGACGGAGAGACGTCAAGAGACACGTTGCCAAGTACTCGCCGCAGCTCGGGCCGGTACTTGATTCTATCCTGGAGCTACAGATACCCGCCCTGTACCTGGTCGTCTATGCTCGTTCCCCAGTCGAGCTTACGCCAATCATCTCGGCCCTTGCTGATCTGCTGTCCACCGACCGCCTCAACTTGGGATGCCTCTTACAGCCTACGCACACCATCTCATTTGAACGCCTACGACGGTCCCATATGCACCTTGCCGAAGCTATCTGAACTCTGGCTGTCACTCTGCCACAGACTTTTTAAAGGTGGCAGGTATCCAGTTCTCGCCCTCCAGACCTCCGTGCCACTGCTCATCTCAGCCTACTGCATCCATCATCTCGTGAGACGGAACAACAAGCGGCTAACCACAAGAAAATTGGGCTGACAGAACTCCTTGAATTCTCTCTCTCCCTCATACCTATCACCGCCGGTCCTGCCCACTCACTTGCTCCTGCCAATATTTCTCACTACTAGCTACTACCACTACTTTTTCGCGCTGTCAATACGACTGATTCGCCATAGCCACTCCGCTTGGCTCTCACTAACGAACCATCCATCCTTCAACCACCGCGGACCACGTTCGGCCTCCCTTGCCTCAGTTGCGCGCGACTCGGGGTGGTGTGAGTGAGACAGAACAGGGCACAGATCGCCAATGGCCTCGATTTAGACGTGATAGGGATATCCCATATCTGAGGTAAGATTAATTGCCCGACATGAGCGTGTCTTGCGTGTGGGCATCCAGCTAAACTCACTTTTAGGGCCACATACTCTCTCCCTTGAAAGCCCAGCTGGCTTTCCCTACTTGTACTTCAACCTCGCACAAGCCTGACTCGCAGTCGAACCCGAACCTTAAACTCTCTTCGAGCTCCCGACACCGACCAGTCCACACGACTTTCCTCAACCTCTCTCACACGCACACAACCAAACGACACGCCAATTTACAACAGAGATACCGTTCCGACCGTCGAAATGACTCAACTCAACGGCCAGAACCGCGCGCCGAGCAGTACGTTGGAAATCGTCCTTATCAACCCTTATCACCATCCGTGGTTGCTAACCCTCAATCCAAGCCTACAGCAATGGTCACGGCAAGTTCTTCCAGGATGGAGGTATTTGGAAGGAGGCGCCCTTGCTTAAGGGTACCACCAAGTTTGAGCCTCTTCCCGATGTCAAGAACATCATGATTACCGGCGGCGCAGGCTTCATGTAAGTCGCGGTCTTGGCACTGCGGTTGGACCGCAAGCTAACAAAATACCTCAAGCGCATGCTGGCTCGTCCGTCATCTCACTCTCACTTACCCCGACGCATACAACATCATCTCATTCGACAAGCTGGATTACTGCTCATCACTGAACAACACTCGGGTTCTGAATGAGAAGTCAAACTTCACCTTTGTCCACGGCGACATCACCAACCCCACAGAAGTCCTTCACTGCCTGAAGCGGTACAACATCGATACCGTCTTCCACTTTGCCGCCCAATCACACGTCGATTTGAGTTTCGGTAACTCATATGGATTCACTCACACCAACGTGTACGGCACCCATGTTCTGCTTGAGAGCGCCAAGAGCGTCAACATCAAGCGCTTCATTCACATCTCTACCGATGAGGTCTATGGCGAGGTGAACGATGACGATGACGACCTCCTCGAGACCAGCATCCTCGCACCCACGAACCCTTATGCTGCCTCCAAGGCTGCCGCCGAGATGCTTGTCCAGTCCTACCAGAAGAGCTTCAAGCTCCCCGTTATCATCGTGCGCAGTAACAACGTTTACGGACCGCACCAGTTCCCCGAGAGTATGTCATCAAAATACTTGAATACCTATCGAATGATAGCTGACCAACTCGCTCAGAAATTATTCCCAAGTTCAGTTGTTTGCTGAACAGAGGCCAGCCCGTCGTCCTCCACGGCGACGGAAGCCCCACCCGTCGCTACCTGTTTGCTGGCGACGCGGCCGATGCATTTGACACCATCCTCCACAAGGGCCAAATGGGTCAAATCTACAACGTCGGATCCTACGACGAGATCTCCAACATTGACCTCTGCAGCCATCTCCTCAAGGAGATGAAGATCCCCTTCTCTACGACGGACGAGTTCAAGAAGTGGGTTAAGTACACACACGACCGTCCCTTCAACGACCACCGCTACGCCGTCGACGGCACCAAGCTGCGCCAGCTCGGCTGGGACCAGAAGACGAGCTTCGCCGACGGCCTGCGTATCACTGTCAACTGGTACCGCCAGTTCGGCGAGGAGTGGTGGGGTGACATCACCTCCGTTCTCACGCCTTTCCCTGTCGTCCAGGGACTGGATGTCTCTGCGGACCAGGAGCCCGTGGCCGACTCACCGCCTACTCCCGAGTCGAAGAAGAGAAAGGTGATTGATGGTGTCAACGGCACCAACGGCCACTCTGTTAGAGCATAGACCATACTCTCATGAGTGGACGAGTGATTGGGAGGGAAGGAGAGGGGGAATGAACGAGAGACATGAAAATTGACATGAGGAAGGGTGTGCTCCTTCAATTGTTACGATGTAAATCCTTTTAGAGACGTGCAACATGGTCTGGCGTATGGCCAAAGAAAGCTTGGCAAGTTTGCAGAACACACAACACAACAAACACAACACATTTTTCTGGCTCCGGTTTATGGCGGGGGCGTAAAAGGCACACAGTATGGCGGTTCAATCATAGAGAGAACATATGGTCGATGGTCGGCAAATCAAAGCTTTTTTCCAAAAGTCAAGTCCATATTCGATATGCATATGTGATGTGTTGGCTCGATAGCCTTTGTGAGACTTCTTTGATAGTGTGTATGATGACGGGCGACTGTTACCCAGGTAGAGTAGTGGGCCAAGACAACCCATGAAAGTGAGGAAAGGCGTTGCGTTATAGCTCAAAGAGCAATGATCAGGTTACTCGTATCGTTGGGCCCACGTGAAGTTTCTTCTGCTTCTATCCTTTGTCATCTGCATGTTATGCAATGAAGTATGTAATGAACTCTTACAGTCATCATCATCCATTCATAGAATGAAGTTGGTGTCCCCCCCCCCCCCCCCTCTTCTCATGACGACATGTGGGCCAAGGTGTAAGCGAGAGAGGGGGCAGCGGTGGTGGCATGCAGGTTCACACGTTTGATGTTGGTTCTTGTTGGAGAGTGAACCATCTCTCTGGGTTCTTTACTTTGGTACCGAGGCGAGGGGAGGCAACCGGAACAACAGGCATATTGACCTGGTCTAGGGGTATCGTTATTCTGGAATACAGAAGCTCAGATGATGATCGTCTCGAGTTCTTTCAATGGGATAGACAGGCACACTGGCTGCATTGTGTGGTCTGAGGAGGGGGGTTTTCCCACGTGTGATGATGGCTGCGAAGCTCGTGAGCCGCGCCTCTCGGAGACTTTTGGCGACATTCGGCTGTGGATGGTCATATTGCTTTTTTCTTGGTATTCCTTCTTTGCTCGTGATCCTTCGCATGAGGGGAGGGGAGGAGGGGGCTGGACCACGTGTTTTTCATTCTCTCTTTCTGACATGCAGATGCGAGGGGATTTGTTGCTGGGTTCGTTTGATTGCTTTTGGGGTATTCAAAACTTGAGCAAACCAGCCGAATGGTCTGAGAAGGTAACCCTCTTTCTCCCATTTCCACATGTTTCTTGTTACTGCTGTTCTTACTTTTTTCTCGCCTTTCTTTCTTAGGTCCTAGTGTCACTGTTAAATGGTCAATGGACCGTCTGTACGGACAGAGTTGTTGAGAGTCACAAGGGAAAAGGTCTCGACCCCTATGAACGGTACGATTACTCCGCTCTCCCCTCTCTTCTCCTCTTGGGAGGTCGTCAAGGGAAGGAGGGCAAGGCAAGGTAAGGTACCGCGCGAATGGTTCGAGATGGATTTACACCCCGGTCATTCAACTTTCGTTAGTTCGGGATCGGACTTCTCGGAGGCGGAGGGATTCAAACCTGTTCTCTTTGAATTCGAGGTACGGATGGATACCTACCTGCTCCATGAGGTTTGTGTAACCTACCTAGATTGGCAGGATTGGTGATGCCGTGCAGCAGTAGTAGATAGCTCACCTCTCCTTCTTGCGTTGTTCCGGCTTGCTGCTGGTGCCACCGGTGCATATTGAAATACCTATCTAGCTACGAGCGATAGCCATCGGGCTCTTGTCCATCTCCGGACCCCACCTTGTACGGACTTCTTCAATTTTATCGAAGGAGGGGAATTGATGTCCCATCTGGGATTCGATTGGAACATGATGGGCTGGTGGGCTGAAGGTTGGAGCGAACGTCAAGTACATAGCAAGGTACAGGAAAGTCACGGCCGAGGAATAGCCCTCTTTATCGCACAGATTGGAATCTGGGTGAGGGCTGGACAGTACATTTCCCGCTTTCTTGGTGGATAATTCTCGTAGATAGATAATGATCCTGTAAAACTGCTAGACAACGGTCCTTGAGGCTTGATTCGCGTGAACCGCTTGACCCCCTCTCTCTCTCTTCTCTCTTTTCTTCCCTTTGGGTTCCCATCCTCTTCCCCCTTGGACGTGCTTGAGCTTCTGGGTAAGGGCAACATTAGGTGTGGTGTGGGCGGGGGTCCCGGGGGAGGGAGACGACCTAGGTTGATCCACAACGACCCGGACCCATTCATCCCCGAGACCCGGGCCAACCAGAGGTGGCAGCGAGAGACCTGGGAGGGAAAGACAGAGCCCCCGAGGCGCGGTTGTGGGCTCTGAAGTTGTGGTTCGGTGGGGTCTAAGCCCAAGCCTCCAAGGTTCCAACGGCGGGGGCCACGGAGAGGGGGGGCTGTCCCTCATCCTTGGGCCTGGGAGTCCTTGGACGCACCGCGGCGATGGAGAGTTCTGAACGAGTGCCTGTGCGTGGGTTTTCCCTTTTCTTTGAGCCCAGACTTCCGTCCCATGCTGTTGGGAACAATATCGCGGGTGGGAGCCGGAATTGGGGTAAAGGATGCGCATAAGGGTTTGGTATGCTTTGCTTACCAATGGCGAGGAGCAAGTAGCATGTATCGTACTCTCAGAGGTCAAGAGATGAAGTGATGCCAAGGTAGGCAGTGGAGGGTATATTGCAGCTTGCCTGCAGCCTCCGTCTACTACCTCAAGTGCTTAGGTGCAGTAAGGTGCTGACTGCCCGTACCGGCGGTTCCCTGAAGTCGTACCAGTCCTCGTTTCTGGACTTCATTCTAGATGAGGGGAAGAAAACGAAGGAGGCAGATGGTCCATGATAATTTGGTCGACTCCTCGAGCATAGCAGGCAGCCCTATTTATCCAATCCGTGAGCCGCTGGGAATCTCAGTTGGTTGCGAGTACAATCCTTACGTGCCCAGTGTTTCTTCACGACTACAATGTGTACCCTGATGTAGCACACTGACCTTGCATATCCAGCGTACCAATGCAGAGAGCTTGGTGGCTCGAATGTACGAATGAAATCTCATGTCTTTCGCGTCCTGCATGCCGCGTAGGAGTACGTAGGCGTAGAAGCGTACTAGAATTGGAGCAAGAGGTCCAGACGCAACGAAATGATACCTTACCTCGAGCCCGCACCACCATCTCTGGGTCCATTAAGATGCCGTTTTAACGACATGGCCCTCGTCCACTCCCGCAGCTACTGTGCAGTAAGGTATCCAAGCTCGTGTCTCCGTAGTAGTTCCAAGCCAGTCGGACTCTTGGAACAAGAGACTCTCCGTAGTAGGTTCCATTGCTAAGGTAAAGCAACGATCTCCACGGCAGCTCCCACAGTTTCTGCCGCTGTGTCTGTCTACAGTCTAAGTGATTGACGAGACGGACAGTCTATGGAGTACAGTAATGCATTGTATGTATGTATGTATGTATGAATGCCCGTTGGTAATTCAGCAGTGAAAAGAACCCTTGATCGTTTGCCCCGTCGGTTCCACCCACCCCCCCTCGTCCGTCGTCCTCGTCGTCCCGGTCCCATCACCAGCGTCCTTGCAAGTTGCGAGATCCCGGCACCTGTCAGGATTTCTGCACAGGATTAGAGCAATGCACTGGCCAAGGGCACCCGCACTAGGACGTCCTCCCCGGAGCAGCCATACCCTTTCAGTGTTAATCCTACCCGACTGGCAAGTCACGTCGTCGCCTGATTATCCTCAAAACGAACGTCCTTTCCACTACTTCGTACCCCCCTCGAAAGCCTCTACGGAGTTTCTTAAGCCATCGTCCCTCTGCCAGTCCCGCCCTCCCGCGTCTTCCTTTCCAAGAGAGGCCCCTTCTTTCAATCTTCTCCCGCTTTACCGCACTCGGCCTCGTACCATCTTTTCTCTTTTGTTCCTCTCTCTCTCTCAAGTCTACACCAAGGAGCAAAAACACACTTTCCACAATCTGCCCGAGCAATCGCAATCGCGACCACCGATCGGCCGACCGATAGCATCCGGATTTGGCACCAAAATCGCCAGCCCTCTATTTCCGTCCTTTGAGATTTCCGCGAGAACCCACTCCGCCGCCCCCCTTTACTGGCCCTCTACTGCTACCTAATCAACCTCGACGAGAACGACGAAACCCATTCTCCTTTTCTACTCACAGCCGCCAAACAAAATCAACCAACCTCATCCTCCCGGCATCCCGTCGCGGGTCATGACATGACGTTCCGGGGCCGCCGACTAGGAACAGAAAGACCGCGATAGGGACCCTTTCCAACTCAGACCCTTCCCGGGTGGCACAAACGGACGGGACGGGTCTCGGCCGCCGCCGCCCATGGCCAGGAAGCGGCGCACCAAGAAGCGCAACAAGGGAACCAGCACACGACCAGACCCCGCGCAGGGCGCCGAGTCCAGCATGTCCACCACCGACGAGCTCGCCTCCCACTCGAGCGACGGCCTGTCGAGCGGCATGCGCGATACCGGGAGCGCCGCCACCGAGATGACGAGCGTCATGGGCAGCACCGAAGATGGTTCGCAGGCCGGTCTCGAGGCCGACGAGGAGTGGAATTCGCAAGAGGAGGAGGGCATGGAGGTTGACGATGACGATAATTTTTCTGTGTTTGCGCCGAGTCACTACCCTCGACCGAGCGAGTCGCATCGCACCGAGATGCCCTACATGACGTCGCCAAATCACCAAGACATGTGAGTAATTTTCTGGGATGTGTGCTGCTTTTTTTTTCTTCTACACCTTGCAGAGCGCGCCAAGCGATGACGGTTCGGACGAAGGCTGACTAGGAGGTTACTGCAGGTCGTCAACGAGGTCATTCATGGAGCGAGAGTTGGACTACCAGTGGGAAAACGGTCGTCGATACTGCGGATCCCACTACCACCTTCCAAACGATGAGTGGGAAATGTGCCGCATGAGCTTAATCCACAGAGTCTATCTCCACGTTTTCGACGGCAAGCTGAGCACGGTACCGATGGAGAACCCACAGAGGATACTAGACGTCGGCACGGGCATTGGCGAGTGGGCGATAGGCATGGCGGACGAGTTCCCCAACTGCGAGGTCATTGGCACAGACATTTCCGCCATAGCGCCCACGTCAATACCGATGAACTGCTTCTTCGAAGTCGACGACGCCGAGCTCGAGTGGGAGCGCGAGCTCAACTCGTTCGACCTGGTACACTTCCGCCACATGATGGGCGCCTTCCTCGACTGGAATTTTATCTACAAGGAGGCCTTCAAGGTCATCCGCCCCGGCGGCTGGATCGAGCTGCTGGACTGGGACGACCAGCAGGGCTTCAAGAAGTTCCTCTCAGAGTTCCCTCCCACGTCCGAGATCCACGAGCTCTCGAGAGACCTGACGCAGGCGGGCGTCAAGGCCGGGCGGGCGAGAGGCGTCGCGCACATGAACCCGAAGCTGTTGACGGATGCCGGCTTCACCGATATTAAGCTGACGGAGCACACGATACCTATTAATCTCGAGTCGAGCGAGGGCAAGCTGTGGCTGATTGCCTGCATCGACGGCCTGGAAGCCGAGTGCCTGCGGCCGCTCACAAAGTACATGGGCTGGGAGCCCGATCACGTAAAGACGGCGTGCCACAACGTCGCGAGGGAGATGGCGCGCCTGGCGAGGGATCCGATCAAGTCGCATGGTCTCATCGTCAAGGCGCGCGTATTGGTGGGAAGAAAGCCGACGACTGCGGTCACGCCGCCGAGGGTGTACCCGATTTTTAACGACGACGCGGATGAGACGGATGATACCGCGCGTGAGGATGCTTGCAGCAGACACCATGACGATGACGAGTCCGCCATTGAGACGGCGGCCTGAGTTGTCGAATGACCTGCTCGCCTTCACCTTCTTGGTGAGGCGAAGGCAATAATTTTCTGCTCTATCCGGGTGACGAACAGCCCGGGCCTAACTAAATTAGAGCAACCGCTATTACCTTCATGTTCACTTGCATACATCGCAACTTTCACACCGGCAGAAGAGCTTGGCCGGTCATATTTAAAAGCGATCAACAAACTTGCATAGCTCCTGCTTATTTTACCTTACCTTCTATGGAAACCGGACGGGGTCGAGAAAAAGTACCTTGCCTTTCAAAGCGATCAACTGAAGATACTCGTATCAAAATGGGGGATGGCAGGTTCGAGGAGGGCTCGAGGTGCACCATTGTGCAGACCAAAGGGGTCGAGAGATATCCTAGCTACTAGGCAGATTAAGGATAGTCATCGAAATTAAGATGAAAATAGACGAAGCTCTCCATTTGCTGCAATATGCTTAGCTATGTGGTGAAATGAAGAATTCCCAGTGAGGATTGCCGCAGAGGTGCCGAATAAGTTGTGAAATGTCACAACTGAATACCTCGAGCTTGAGGAACTTGAGAGCTCGGTGCTTCAGAAGTACGTACCGCCAAAGCTCCGTTCCCAGGTTGCAGTGGGGGGCCGGCCGAGCTCCCTGCCTATGTCATCCATCCTCTACACCAACAGCGACCACACATACAATCACCAGCCTCCAACGAGTAGTCCACTTTGCGCAACCGCAGCTGGTGCACTCACCAACGCTCGAAGCGAAATCACGATCCCCAGCGACGATGCCCGTATGACCTCGACGTAGCCGCACCTTCGAATCATGGCTTTGAACCCCACCGACGGCTTCGTCGCCGCCGGCAACGGGGTGCTCGACCTGGACGACGCCGCGCTGCCCATGTTCATCGTCGAGCGAGTCCAGCTGCAGTTCTCCATCGCGGCCGACTTTGTCGCCGCCCAGGTCGCGAACAATGTTTTAGTTTTGGCGTTATCCAACGGACGTATTTTGCGCATCGATCTTAATAGACCCGAGGATATTGATGGTGCGTTTTTACAGTCGGACGGAATGACGGTACTTTGCTACCTACGAATAATGGGTTGCTAACCATGAGACTATTCGCAGACATTGACCTCCCCAAGAAACCGGCAGAAGTCGGCGTCATCCGCCGCATGTTTCTCGATCCGACCGCCTCTCACCTCCTCGTCTGCACGGCGCTCGGCGAGAACTACTACCTCCACTCCCAACACAAGCACCCGCGCGCCCTGGCCCGCCTGCGAGGCGTCTCCATCGAGAGCGTTGCCTGGAATCCCTCGCTGCCCACGGCGTCGACCCGCGAGATTTTGCTCGGTGCCGCCGACGGCAACATCTACGAGGCCTCCATCGAGACCACCTCGGAGTTCTATAAGAAGGACATCAAGCTCAAGAACCTGCACAAGCTCCCGGATGGACCGATCACGGGACTCTGGGCCGATACGTTGCCGAAACGACCGGACATGCGGCGGGTCATGATTGCGACGCAGAGCCGGCTGTTTCATTTGGCTGGCAAGGTCGGCAGCGGCCACGACAGCGGAGGGTCGGTGTACACGAAGCTGTTTGAGTCGGAGCAGCCCGTCATTCACGAGCTGTCGCGCGCCTCGGCCGCCGCGACGTCTGCGCTGGTCGTCTCGCCGGATCCCCCTGACCAGAACCCGTACGAGGACGAGGCGCACGAACGGGCCTACGCGTGGCTGTCTGCGCAGGGTATCTTCCACGGGCAGCTCGCCTCAAGCGCCGAGGGCAAAAAGATATTCAATGAGTCGAGCATGCTTCCGCGGGACAAGATTGGTTCGTCTTCTGACGGATCGGGAAGCAAGCGGAAAGCTACGGCGGATTACGTCGAGGCGATTGCGCTGACGCAGTGGCACATTGTCAGCCTGATTGGAGGCCGCGTGGTAGCCACGAATCGCCTGACTGGAGAGGTGGTCTATGACCAGATCGTGTTGGACCCGGGCCAGAAGGCTGTGAGCTTGTCTGTGGATCTGCAGAAGAACACATTCTGGATGTTCACTGCGCAGGAAATCTTCGAGGTCGTCGTCAGGGACGAGGACCGCAATATCTGGCAAATCATGCTGAAGCTGCAACAGTTTGACTCTGCGCTGCAGCATGCCAAGACGCCCGCGCAACGGGAGACGGTAGCGACCTCATATGGTGACCACCTCGTTGCCAAGCGGCAATATATGGAGGCCGCCTCGGTGTACGGACGAAGCAATAAGCCATTTGAAGAGGTGGCTCTAACCTTTATCGACAACAACGAGCCGGACGCTCTGAGGAAATATTTACTAGCGAAGTTGAGCACGTCGAAGAAGGCGGCCGTCATGCAAAGAATAATGATTGCGAGTTGGCTGGTAGAGATCTTCATGGCGAGGCTCAACTCGCTAGACGACACTATCATTACGCAAGCCGAGCTAGCGGACGGCCTCAACCCGGCGCAGTCGAGAGAGCAGCTCCACGCTGTCCAGGGCGAGTTCCAGGAGTTTGTCAACAAGTACAAGTCTGACCTCGACCGGCGGACAGTGTACGACGTGATCAGCAGCCACGGTCGGGAGCAAGAGCTGTTGCACTTTGCCAACGCCGTCAACGACTACAACTACGTCCTGTCGTACTGGGTTCAGCGCGAGCGGTGGCCCGAGGTACTGACGGTGCTGAAGAAGCAGACGGATCCTGAGGTGTTCTACCGGTACAGCACTGTGCTCATGACGCACGTCGCTTCGGACCTTGTTGAGATCCTCATGCGCCATTCCGACTTGAAGCCTCGCAAGCTGATTCCTGCGCTGCTGGAGTATAACCGCAACTTCGAGGGCACCCCCCAGCAGAACCAGGCCGTCAGGTATCTGCAGTATGTCATCAACCAGCTCAACTCCAAGGATTCGGCAGTACACAACACTCTTGTTTCGATATATGCACAAACCTCCAAAGATGAAGCTGGCCTGCTGTCGTATCTAGAATCGCAGGGCGAGGAGCCGAATTACGACCCGGATTTTGCCCTTCGCCTGTGCATCCAGCACCACCGCACGCTGTCTTGCGTCCACATCTACACCAGCATGGGTCAGTACCTGCAAGCCGTCGACCTGGCGCTCTCGCATAACGAGGTTGAGCTGGCGTCTGTGATTGCCGACCGGCCCATGTCCAACCCGCCTCTGCGGAAGAAGCTCTGGCTCGCCGTCGCGCGCAAGGTCATTTCGCAGTCCAACGGCATCAAGACGGCCATTGACTTTTTGAAGCGGTGCGACTTGCTAAAGATTGAGGATCTCATCCCCTTTTTCCCAGACTTCGTCGTCATTGACGACTTCAAGGAGGAGATTTGCACGGCGCTCGAGGATTACGGGCGCAACATTGACTCGTTGAAGAAGGAGATGGACGAGTCGTCGCAGACGGCGACGAATATCAAGGTCGACATCGCCGCCTTGGATCACCGGTACGCCATTGTCGAGCCCGGGGAGAAGTGCTACGTCTGCGGGCTGCCGTTGCTGAGCAGGCAGTTTTTTGTCTTTCCCTGCCAGCACTCGTTCCACTCGGATTGTCTGGGCAAGAGGGTGCTGGAGCAGGCTGGGGTCGGCACGAGCAAGAGGATCCGCGAGCTGCAGGTGCAGATTAGTAAAGGTCTGGTGAATGGTGCCAAGAGGGAGGCCATGATTACGGAGTTGGACTCGTTGGTGGCATCAGCATGGTGAGTTTACAACAGGTTGTCTATTTGCGAGTGACGTATTGCTAACATGACGCAGTATTCTTTGCAGCGAGTTTGCCATTAAGAGGATTAATGAGCCATTTGTGACGCCACAGGATAACCTCAATGAATGGAGGATTTAAAGGGGGTGGGTGTGTGGTGGCCTCTGTGGTGTAGACGTCCGCGGTCTCTTCTTATCTTTGTACATGATAGCAAAAACAAGAACCTTGCATGAGCAAGCGTTGTCTTAATGGCTGCAATACCCGGCGTTTTCAAATTCAAGAGTTTGTTCAGAGCATATCCCGGAAGATCATGGTTTAAGACTACTATATTGATTCTGTTTGTATTGTAACCCGATATCTCGGTTTCGACAACAGCGTAAGTCTTGCTTTGGTGTTGAAGGTTTTGATTTGGATTTGTGATACAGAGACAGGCAGGGGGTTCTTTTCAGGAGCCTGAGCAGTCGGTGACTTGCGTTTGCGAAGTCGAGAGCAGGAGGATGGAGACGATGAGGCCGTAGAGGCCTAGAACCTCTGCGAAGATGAGGATTAGGACCATGCCTGTGTACAGACGCGGTTGTTGGTTCGTGGCTCTGACTGTTGGCTGGGTGTCAGTTACCGTTACGACCTTGCTCTTGTGACCCTTTGTTCCTCGACCGAAGGCCGTAGGGTGTCATCGACAGCGCAGAGTAAACGACACAAGGGGGAGGGGAAAGGGGGCAAGGGAAGAAGTGGGATAGAGGAGAAGCAGTTACCTCCCGCATCGCCAACGATCCCGATCGCGAACCCCGCCGCAAGCCCACACAGGCCGACGCTTATCCCCGCGGCGAACTGCAGGAAGCTCGTGTGCAGGGCCTGCTTCTCGACGAGGCGGTTCGCGATGATGACGGCGGCGACGAGGCCGTAGATGCTGAGGATCTGGGCCATGATGGCGCAGAGGGTGTTCTGCATGAGGCGGTCGGGGCGGAGGACGCCCGCGGAGAAGATTGCGGCGGAGGACTTGGCGGTGCCGTAGGAGGAGCCGAGGACCGTGAAGACTATGGCGGATATGCAGCCCATTGCGCCGAAGAAGGACTGTTTGTCGGTGGTGGTTAGAGGAGGAGAGGGGATGAGAAAGGGGAGGGGGCTTGGAGGGAATGACCCACGGAGTATGATGGACTTGGAGGATGAGGTGCGTTAGCTGCGAGTATTGCGGGATTTGGGACGCTTGGAAAGGGGGGAGATGGGGATGTGATACGCACCAGCGGTCCAGGTTCGCAAAGACGATTTCGTCCATTCTGGTGGCGGTAGTGGCGGGCGATGTGAGGATGGATTGCATTTAACTTTTCTTGTTGATTTAAGCTTATTTGATGCTTAGGGGGCTTTCCAAGATCTGATGAGATGACGGGTAGTTTTACCGGGAGAACGTATGGTCACGCATCACAACTTATATATCATCTACGTTTGGTTGCGTCGAGGAGGCCTACTTCATTCGTCGCCATACTACACACATGCACAGCTTTCAGACTTAGTTGCCTAAAATACGTAAATCAGGCTCAAGGCATACCTATTTCGCGGTACACCTTTTGACTTTCCTTCGCTGAACCACTCACCATTCGCGGTGGCTTGTCACGAACGGGATAATTCCGATCCGATCTTATCTTTTGCACATAACATGTACGGTGTCGGGCGAGAGGTAGCCCTACGCGTGGCACGAATGCTGACTGCCTTACGGATACTTTCAGGCCCTGTGCACTTCCAGCCGTTATGGTGTACCAATGGAGAGACCTACTTTCAACGAGCTGGCTGGAAGGATGCGGTGGCCGCGGATGCTCATGATTGGTTCGTGGTGGCGACAAGATGAGGTGAACCAGACGGGAGCGGCGCGGTCGGCGCCGGAGACCCACCCCAGCCGGCCGGTGCCAGTAATCCGGATTTAGACAACCCACGTGATTATACATGTGACTTTGGAGGATACCGTGCACGGTCCAAGGGGGAAGTGGGGAACACCGTCGCAGAGATGCTTCTTTTCGGGGGATCTCCAGTTCATGATTCGTCCTCGAAGCAAATGGCTGGCAATCCCCTTTCGGGAGGAAACGAAAAAAGAGTGCGGGCGAGTCAGGGGGGATTCTTGCGCGCCGGATGTGCCAGATAGATGGGCGAACTTTGAAGAACGAACGGTCGCCTCCATCTTCGATCTATGACCTGGGTCCTTACACATGATCTGCACCAAGAGCGGTGCTGTCAGGCGGGTTTTGGAGTCCTGACACAGTGACACTTTGAAGTCTCATACTCCATACTCACATACGGAGTAGTATCCTTCTTTTCCTATGCCACGGTTCAAGGTTGACCTTATTTACGGATCCCGTTCTTATTTTTACTCGGCCCGCGGACGGTAGAGAAAAAGCGGACACGCCCACCTAACAAATCCACTTCTCGTACGAAATCATGAGAAATACGACAAATTGGAGAGGCCGACGGAACCGTGGTGGCCTCGTCATCCCTCATTTTCTTTCGGCCTCCTGGAGTCTTGGAGTTCCTGGACGTCTTGCCTACCTTTTGCAGTAGCGCCGGGACTTGGTGCTCTTGGCGCCGGACGCTGCTCGCGCGCCACATCCCGGACCATCGGATCTCGGCATCGGTATGGAGTGGGGGGGAGAAGAGGGAGCGTTTGGACGAAGCGGCGAAGCGCATGTGGTTGGATGACGGGCACTTCCTTTTTAGCTCATTTACGTTCCCTTTCGAATTCCCGTTCCCGCCATTGCCTTACTACACCGTCATGGGAGACTGGTTGACGATTCGAGCCTAAGGCAAGGCAAGGCAAGGCTCGATGGACGGGCTCTTCCGGATTCCCGGAGTGGCGATGAACGCATCAACGCGATCGGGTCTGTCGGCTAGACCAAAGTGAAGATTATGAGGCAGATGATTCCTCACCGCGTTGCGCGTTGCGCAATCCATGAGCCAAGATGCGCTGGTGATGCTACGATCTCCGACGTCAAGAGACGCAAGCAGGAGTTCTTTTCTAGAGGACTGATCAGTGATGCGGCTCTGGCGGCATCGTGTTGCCGGTGCCAGCACTTGTTCTGTATCGTGAGACCTGGATGAAGGGTAAAGGTATGAAGGAGATGTAGGTGTCGAGTGTCGAGTGTCACCAATTTTAGAGGTTACAGTTCTTTTTTGTGTCTTGCTGCGTTCGTCGTCTTACCCCATGCTGGCTCGGACCGAGAGGATGTCTGATTTTATCAGGGAACGCGACGAAGAACACCTCCTCGGCTGGCCTCGAGTCGCAAGTCATATCCGTAGGTCGGGTGTGGCAGCGAGGGCGCCTGGCTGACCAGAGCGTTGGTGAGAAGCCTACAAGGTAGAGAGAGGGACTCCGTGAGCCCGTAGCGATGTTGGTTCCAGAATCCAACGTGTCTGATATTCCGCTAGCTGAGACAGAAAAGGGTTCGCTGTTGGTCGGGGGTTACATTGATGCTCGCGTTTCACATGCAGCCATTTTTACCCCTGCCCAGCTGCTGCAGCGCAACCGCACGACCGCAACCGCAACCCGCACCGCCCTCTTCTTCTGCGCAGCCGCGGTGCGGGAGACACTCACACGACTATTGCGCGCTCTTCCTTCTCCGAGTACTCAGAGCGCAAGTGTGACTCTCACTCTCCATACTACCGTAGACTGTGTGAGAGAGAGGGAATGTGGGAGCAAGGGGGGCTGGGTTGTCTTTCCTTACAGGCTACGGACCTACGGCTACCGGCCCACGCAAACTGCAGAAAAAAGGGCAGAGCACCGCAAAATAAAGGGGACGGGATGCTTAGAAGGGCAAGATGCAAGCACGGCCACGCGTCTTTTTCGACTCCGCCTGACATGGCTCTCACCACTCGCTAGCCTCCCTTCCCTTTCCCCTACCCTTCCTTCCCTTCCCGTTACCAGTGGCAGTGGTGACTGGTGCGTGAGAATGAGAGTCTGTGATACTTGTGATACCTGTGATTCCAATACCCCCCAACCCTGTCGGTGAGAAGGTTTGACCCGGGGTCGTCCCGGGCTGGCAAGTCTGGAGACCGTTCGGCCTTCCCCTTTCTTGTCCAACCATCTTGCACCAATTCGCTGCTCCGTCCGTCGACATCCCTTCCTTCTCACCCTTCTAAGCCTTCCGCTGTAAGCGTGACCAAGTGGTCTCTCTCTACGGAGTACGCTGTAAGTCTCTCTCTCTGTCTGAGTCTCTCTTGAGGAGCAACTCGCTACTCCCGGCCTCGTCCAAACACGCTCAACCCCGGACCCTGTCCGCAACCCCCCGTCAACCCGTCCAGTGCCCCGCCGAGCATGACGACGAGGTCAAGTCTGCGACTGGGTGAGACCTTTTGGACGAGACTGTGGCGCTTGGCAGTGTCAGTTCCCGCCTTGCCCATGGTCCGCGCTGTTGCTGTTTCTATTCCAAGAACAGAGGGGGACCAGAAGTTTGACTTTTGGTACAAAGAAAGACTTGCATCTCATCTTTTGGCCTGCTTTTCTCGTCCAACCGCACTTTTTGGCTCTGCTTCTGCTCTCTTGGCTTCCTCTGTGCTTCCATTGCATTGGACTATCCTGCTCGTGCTTTGCTCTCTACTGCAACTTACTCATCCAAAAGACCACCACCTACACGAGTTGGTATTAACCACTAGACACTCCGAGTCTACTTTCACTTTCTTAAATCCTCCGGATCGCCGGATTTTCCCACTCACTACGTTTACGCGTTGCGCCGAAAGCAAAACGGAAAGGAAAGAAAAAAGGCCTTTGCCTTCGCCTTCCTGTCTCTCTAGTCTGGTTTGGTGGTCCAGTGCCAGCTCACCACTCCCGCCGCCCCCAATTCGTCTTCATCAGCAACGCAAGCTCCGCCACCATCACGGGTGACGAATCCTCTCCCCACCGTGCCGTATACCGAGCCCACTCCCCCCCCGCGAGTAGTCGCCTTCACCGAACTCCGGAATTTCGCAACCGACTATATTTTTCTCATCCTTCTAGTTTTCTTCTCTACCGTCCGTGTTGCGCCATCAATGACTTCATAGCACGACGCCATTCTCTTATATCTACATCCTTCCGGCACCCTTGTCTTGGCGGCCGGTCGACACTCACAGCTTGGATATCGATCTAATTCAGAGTCGTACAACTCGCTGTACAAACACAAACACAGACTCAAGATGAAGTCAACAACATTAATTGCCCTCGCGGCTTCACTACTACCCACGGAGGGACTCGTACTCAGGAAGAGCGAAAGCAGCGCACCAAGGGTGGTTGGATTGGACCTGCACCGCGCGACAATACCGTACACACGCAACAAGAGGGACATGTTGAGGAAGAGAGGTTCAGTGCAAGCGACTTTGGACAATTTGGTAGGTCTACAAACGATGTCTTTTCGGTACTATCTCTAACACTTCCAAGGAAACTTTGTATTTTGTGAACGGCTCTCTCGGAACACCAGCACAGCCTATGCGACTTCACCTCGACACCGGAAGTAGTGATCTCTGGGTTAACACTGCAAGTTCGGCTCTTTGCAAAGGTCAAGGCACGCCATGCTCCGTGTCCGGTACCTACTCGGCCAACGATTCGTCAACCTACAACTACGTCGGAAGCTGGTTCAACATTAGTTATGTCGACGGCTCGGGAGCGACTGGAGATTACGTGACGGATAAGTTCACCATTGGCGGATCTACTTTGACCGACTTCCAGTTCGGTGTCGGCTACACGAGTTCATCCGCGCAAGGCATCCTAGGAGTCGGATACAAGGTCAACGAAGTGCAGGTTGGGCGTGCCGGTTTGGCCTCCTACGACAACCTGCCCGCCAAGATGGTCTCTCAGGGCCTCATCCAATCCAGCGCCTTCAGCTTGTGGCTGAATGATCTGGACGCGAGCCAGGGAAACATTCTTTTCGGCGGAGTCGACACGGAGCGTTTCGAAGGCGAGCTCAAGACCGTACCCATCCAGAAGGAGTCTGGCAGCTACGCCGAGTTCCTCATCACCCTGACAAAGGTGACGCTCGGCTCAAAGACGTTGGACGAAAACATGGCCCTGGCCGTCCTGCTCGACTCGGGTTCCAGTCTCACGTATCTCCCCGACGACATGACCACGACAATCTACTCCATGGTGGGCGCCGTCTACCAGCAAGAAGAGGGCGTCGCCTTCATCCCCTGCTCCACGGCCAACTCGGGCTCCAACATGACCTTCACCTTCTCGGGCCAGCCCATCACGGTACCCATCGACGAGCTCGTGCTCGACCTCGTCGCCATCACCGGCAAGCGCACGTCCTTCTCCAACGGCGTCGAGGCCTGCCTCTTTGGCATCGCGCCCGCCGGCGACGGCACAAACGTCCTCGGCGACACGTTCCTGCGCTCGGCGTACGTGGTCTACGACATTGACAACAACGAGGTCTCGTTGGCGCAGACCAAGTTCAACGCCACGAGCACGAATGTTCTCGAGATTGGCAAGGGCAGCAGCGCCGTGCCGTCTGCCGTCGCCGTCGCGAGCCCCGTGTCCGCCACGGACGGCATCGTCCGTGGAGGAAAGAATGCCGCGCCGTCGTTGGCGCCACTGGCGGCGTCCATCTTTGCGGGGTCCGTTGCCTTTGCGACTGGGTTCTCGCTCTACCTTTTCTAAATCACCAAAAACAACAAACACGCCGCATTCTGTTGGAATGGGTTTCGGGGGAGCTTAATGTTTCAAACGGTCGATTTTTGGCTTCTTCATAGCATTGCATTGCGAGGGCGTTTTTTTGGGGTTCTCATGTTCTACACAAGATGTTCAAGAATTATGGCTGATGTACCTGCATCGAGCAAGGCGTTTTTTCGGATGTGCATTCAACAAGACAGCACTCATTCCTTTTGGAGGAGGTAGGCAGAGAGAGGAGAGCAGGATACGAAAGAGACGGCCGAACAGCCTGAAGCTGTTGAGTAGAGCGATAACCTACAAAGAGATACCTAGAGCCAGAAACTTCGTCAATGATAGTATTGGCTGATTCTTCATCACTTTTCATCGCATTCAATGAAACCATTCTCATGTCGTGATCCCGTATCTAGTGATATTCAGCTGCTCTAACCAGTCGTACCAATCGCTTCCATTCCCTGGACTGTGCACCAACCACGTGCTCCATTCGGACCATTCCTCTTCATCTGATGTCTCTCTCTCTCTCCCTGCGTGTGTGTGTCTCATTTGGGTTCTAAAAAAAGAAGTCTCTTCTCACCACGGAATACCGACTGTCCGGTTTCCAATTGCTGCTGTAGGCCTGTACGCAACCTCCCGGCCTGGCCCCTGACAAAAAGAAAGGGACAACAGTACTCATCACACGCTTCTTGGAGAGAAGCTTGAAAAGGGGGCAGGCTACCCCCCGTTTCCTAGTTGGGGTTTTGCCAAGGCGTTTCTTGACTATGCCAAGAGGTTTTGGAGTGTTTCCTGGGGGATTTTGGCGACGGGATTATGCGGTTGGTCGGTCTTTCTCTCTCTTACGATTGCCCGTTTCTGAGGTGCTGAGGTATGATGAGAATGGTAGGAAGGGGAAAGGGGGAGTTCCTCGGCTTGGGTGTATAGTTTGGGAATGGCGATGGGTAGGAAGCAAGTGCTTCGAGGGGATCGAAATACCGCTCGCGAGAGTCGGATCGTGAAGCCCAGGGCCCTGTCCAAGTTTTCTTGGGTAGGCTGTACGGGGAGATCGTGCTTTTTGGCGCCGTCTGATCCCAGAGCAGGACGAATGCTTAAGACACTCAAGAAATTTCGAGAAACGGGTCCTTGATGGTCTTGGTATCCTCTTCCGAAGAAGCAGCAGCAGCCGGGATATAACCCCGAATCACGTCATCGACATATCCCCGCGGCAACCCAAACCTCTCCGTCGCCTCGTCGACGCCGCGGTTCATCCGGTCGACGTACTCGGCCCGCGGCGTCGAGGGTTCCGTCCGCTCGGTGTCTACGTAGACTAGTGCCGTGACGTTGCTGCCCGGTGCGAGACCGGCGGCGGCAGAAGCGGCGCCGATGCCTTTGGAGGCGAGGTTCGCGATGCTGACGGCGAGGTCTTGTTTTTGGTAGGCGTGGGGCACGCCTTCGCACCTGTCGAGGGTTGCTTCGTCTCGGGGCGGGAGGGCGTAGAGGACGCCGTAGACGCCTGGAGCCGCTGAGGGCGGAGCCGAGGGTGGAGGAGGAGGCGCGGAAGCTGAGGCCGGGTCCGTGGTCGGTGCGGCGGCGGCGTCGGCATCGGCGAGGTACGCGGGATTTACGGGGCCGTTGGGGACGACGTTGGCGTAGCGGCGGGCGTTTATGATGAATGTGTGATCTGGGAGGTGGGCTAGGCCGAGGGGTGTGGAGGCGGGGCAGCGGAGGGACATTTGGGTTGGGGAGAGGTTGGAGCCGTAGGCGAAGTAGAGGCGAGGGGGGTCCGGTGAGACCATATCGTTCGTCGGCTGTGACTGAGATGGTGTCCGAGATGTTGTGGGTTGGGATGTTGGCGGGCGTCGGTCTTTCTGACTGGTGAGTTGGGCTTGAGGGTTCCTTGGTAGTTTGGGCTGCTTGCGTATCGTGTTTTTCTTTTCTCTTCTCTTCTTATATTCTCCCAAGAAGGTAATCGCTAATGGAGTACAAATTGGTATCGATTTGGATATTGCAAGTGGGAGGTGATGAGCGTCCCCAATTTATGGCGAGATGGCTGAGACTTAGGCAGCTAGCACGCCACAGGTCGATGCTCGATGGTCTCAGATGCGGATGCGAGGTGGGGGGAAAGAGGACACTGGAGGATTCGACCTGCCTAACTTCATATAAGCCATCACACTGGTCTTGTTTTTTTGACGAAACCTTTTCGTTTCCACTGTTGCCTGCAATCGCAGTCCTTGATTCTCATTTCAGACTTGTTTCTATTCTGAGTTTCCGGTTCGGAAATTGCTACAGTTAGACATACCTCTACGGAGTTTTGGGGGAGCACCTAAATCAGCCCAGTTCCGGGCCGAAAGTGGGACCGGAGACACGGCACGGCACGGTTTTAGCGGCATAAGTGCCTTACATCTTCATTAATTAAGCATTATCTACTAGTATGTATCCGTACATCACTCATAGAGCCTCCTCTCTCATTTTCATGCATAATTTCGTCAACGTTAGAAACGAGAGGCCTTTAACCTATGACGAAGCAATGATCTCGGCAGCCTGCTCGGCGAGGGCGTACACCGCGGCCTGGATGTGAGCCGTGATGATTGTCGGGAACACGGAAGCGTCCACGACACGGAGGTTGCTGACACCCTTGACGCGCAGATCGCTGTCTACGACTTTGCCCATGGCGCATGTGCCCATCGGGTGGTACGTGCCGCTAGAAGATAACCTGTTAGTTTCGAGGGCTGAGAAGTGTAGCACATCCAAAGGTCAGGTAGTTCACTTACATGACGGAAGCACGGATGCGCTCCTCGATCTCCTCGTCCGTCGACTCGAGCGTAAACGCCTTCAGGCCTTCCGCCGGCGCCTCAGCCTCGACGATCCCCTGGCTCAGAGGCGACTCGCCGCCAATCATCATCCGCGTCATTCGGCGGATCGAGTCGCGCCACACGAACCGGTCAACCTCGGAAGCGAAGAAGTTGGGGTCGATGAGCGGGGCCTCACTCGGGTCCGCGGAGGCGAGCGTCACGGAGCCACGGCTCGTGGGGTGCAGGCCGACGTTGGCGGTCGTGAGGTAGGTGCTGTTGGAAGGGAGCGCCGGGTTCGTGTTGACGTAGAGCACGAACCCCTCCATGAGGGTGCGCTCGTTCTTGAGGAGCGGGTGCGTCGCCGGGTCGGGTGCGGCGCCCTCTTCTTTGGTGATGGCGGCGACGAGGCCGTCCTGGTCTTCCACGCCAAAGGAGGCGACAAAGTTGTTGGGCTGGCCGAGGCCGTACTGCGGCTGGAAGAAGAGGGTGTTGCCTGAGTCGACGGTCGAGTTGCGGTACTGCGGGGAGAGGCGCCAGTTGTAGGTGAAGAAGGGGTGGTCGGCAAAGTTCTTGCCGACCTCGGGCGCGTCGAGCTTAGTTTCGATACCGTGCTTGGCGAGTTCGTCGGACGGGCCGATGCCGGATAGCATCAGGAGCTGCGGCGTGCGGTAGGCGCCGGCGGCGGCGATGACCTCCTTGCCGAGGATCTCCGTGCCGTTGGCGAGGCGGACGCCGGTGGCGACAAGGGTACCGGTGCTTGAGCTGTTGTCATTGCGGAGGAGTATCTTCTCGACGAGCGTGTCTGTCATGACCGTGACGCCGTCGAGGGGGTAGTACTCTGACGCGATCTGACGGACGCCGTTGCGGCGGTTCTCTGCAATCTCGCCAAAGCCGAGGTTCTGTCCGGCGTTGGCGTCTAGGCCCAGGAGAGCCTTGACGCCGACGGACTCGTACGAGGCGTAGACGGCGTCTCTGAGGGGGTAGACGCGGCCCGTGACCGAGGGTACCTCGACCTTGAGGGGTCCGTCGTACCCATGCTCGTCGGCGTTGACGTCGGTCCAGTAGGCCTCGGACCGCTTGAAGAACGGCAGCTGGCTGTCGTAGCTCCAACGGGAATCGTTGGCCAGTTCGGCCCACTCGTCATAGTCGACGCGGGCACCACGCATCCATCCACCTCAACAAGGGGTCAGTATTTTCGGATGCACTTTTTACCACAGAACAAACTCTGGGGAGTTGACTTACATGTGTTGATGAGGGAGCCGCCGCCGAGACCCTTCCCAGCAGCGCTCTGAATCATGCGGCCGTTGAGCTGAGATTGCGGCGTGGAGTAGTAGTTCCAGTCAAAGTCCCCCGCGATCAGGTTGGTCGAGTTGACGTAGAGAATGTCCGTCCGGCCAGCAGCACTGGAACCGGCCTCGATGACGAGAATCTTGGCCGTGTTGTTAAGCGCCAACAGTCGGCTCGAGACGACGGAGCCGGCGAGGCCGCCTCCGACGACAATGTAGTCCCAGACGTCGGTTGGCAGCATGATTTCCTGATTTGTGTGTCGTTATGCAGGGCAGCGGCACGTAAAACAGGATTCGACGCAAAGATTCTGAAAAGGGAAAACTTGGCGCAAGTTGTGATTGATGCTGCAGATCGGGAACCGGGAGGCTGGGACTGCAGAGTGTGTGACGAGCCGTTGCAGAATGCAATGCAGAGAGAATCGGGCGTAGTAGAGGGACGAAGAGAGAAGACCTCACACACTCGAACCGGACAGACGCCGCAGCCGCTTCTCTTTTAAGAGCAGACGCATCGGGAGATATCACGCACACATCGCCCGTCAGCATCGTCCTCCGAGGCTCCGTTCTGCGGCCGTTGCGGAGACTATTGCCATGTGGAACTCGGCGCAATTTTGGGTATTTCGATATCGCAAGAAGAAAATGGCCAGGGCCAGAAGGTGGCTCGGGTACGGCGGGTGAGCGACATCGACAGATCAAGAGGTTCTCCCCCATTGCCCTCCCGTTGAAGGGGATCCACCAATATTCCTCCTCCACGGGGAACCTTTCCGGGCCAAGCTCTGTCGTTATCCTCTGACCAGGTTCCTGACTAGTTGACAGAGGCCTCTGAGTGGGCTCATCAGTCGATTGAGTGGTGTTGGATGTTCAAGGATCCGGAGTTGTGGGGTTTCTTTCGGACCAGGTTACCGAATGCAGAGACGACTTGTTTTGCGGCCCGTCATCCCCT